GCAGCCGTGCCCAGCAGTTTGACATGCCTCTCCCTGAAGCACAGAAAGCACGCTGCTCTTAAGAGTGCTCCACCTCATTATTATTTTTAAAGATTTGTACTGCAGTAGCACCCACAGGCCCCAGTCAAGGATTGGGGCCCCATTGTTCACTGTGCACAGTGCCTAGCACAGAGTCCCAGGAGCTTAGGATACCAATATGTGACAAGACAGGGTAAGCACAAGGTAACAGTGAGACAATTGTGATTAGAGTAAGACGAAGCAGTCTCAGCACACCCAGCTACCTCACCACTGTCAAAAGAGTTCTGTAGATCTCACAGCACAGGAAAATGTTAAAGGAGAGATGTGTGCAGCCTGACAGGGTGGAGCAGCCTCCAAGTCTAGTCATAGAAGCCAAAATTGACTCACTAAGCACAAAAAGATAAACATTTAGATGATTAGCACAATGATGTTTCAGTACAGTATCATTGCCAACTCCAGTGGTTTTATCTGTCATGTGTTATTTGGTGTTTTTTTGTTTTTATTTAAAGCCCCAGGTCCTAAAGTCATGTGATTATATGTGTGGGGGTGGAGAAGTTTCTAGGTTTCCTGGTTATGGAGAAGAGCTGGAAAACATGAATCTTAAAGGCTCAAAAGAGACAAATCTGACCCACCAATTTTTAGTACAATTTTGCAGGGGGGGGGGGTGGAGGAACGACCCTGACTCATGATTTCTGAATGCTTGGTAGTTGCTAGTATAATAAGTTGCATCCCTTATACATCCCTTATTCTCTTGCATCTGAAGAAGTGAGGTTCTTACCCACGAAAGCTTATGCTCCCAATACTTCTGTTAGTCTTAAAGGTGCCACAGGACCCTCTGTTGCTTTATCCCTTATACAGATTCCCCAGAGTATAGGTTTCTGGAAGTAATTGCTCTATTACAGGCAAATACTATAGTTAGAGCTGGTCAAAGTTTTCATGGGAACAGTTTTCCATCTAAAAATATATAGTTTTGTGTAAGATGAAACTTTCAGCTGGAATGCATCAATTGATTCACTTTTTGATGGGAAAAAGTCTGAATATTTTGACTGGTTTCATTTTGCTTTGACTTTGACGTAATACAACATTAAGGTTAATCGTTTATACCATATAATATATTATATACATAAATATACACAACAGATATTTATTTATATATCGAAATTAAAGTATTAAATTAAAATTTTGCAACAGTCTAAACAAAATCACAATGACAGTATTGTCAGAGTAGTTATCAATGGTTCAGAGTCAAGCTGGAAAGACATATTGAGTAGGGTCCTGCAGGGTTCTATCATAGGTCTAGTTCTAGACAATGTCTTCGTAAATGTCATGGAGAATGGTACAGAGCTATACTTATAAAGTTTGTGAACAATATCTAGCTGGGAGGGGTTACAAGCACTTTGAAAGACAGGATTAAAATCAAGTGATCTTGACAAACTGGAGAAATGGGCTGAAATAAATAGGATGAAATTCAATAAGGAGAAATGCAAAGTACTACACTTAAGAAATAACCAATTGCACAAATACAAAATGGGAAGTGACTGCCTAGAAAGGAGTACCACAGAAAAGGATATAGTGGTTAGTGGATCAAACTAAATCTGAGTCAACAATGTAATACTGTTGCACAAAAAGCAAACATCATTCTGGGATGTATTAGCAGGAATGTTGTAAGCAAGACATGAGAAGCAATTCAACACCAATAAGGCCTCAACTGGAGTATTTTGTCCAATTCTGGGCACCACACTTCAAGAAAGATGTGGACATAATGATTAAAGGTCTAGAAAACATGACCTAAGAGGAAAGATCGAAAAAATTGGGTTTGTTTAGTCTGGAGAAGAGTAGCCTGAGGGGGCACATGAGAAAAGTCTTCAATTTGTAAAAGGTTTTTATATAAAGGAGAAAAACGTATCATCTTTCTCAACCACTGAGGACAGGACAAGAAACGATGGGCTTAAATTGCAGCAAAGGAGATTTATGCTAGACATTAGGAAAAACTTCCTAACTATAAGGGTAGCTAAGCGCTGCAACAAATTAGAAGGTTGTGGAATCTCCATCACTGGAGGTTTTTAATAACAGGCCTGACAAACACCTGTCACGGATGGTCTAGATAATACTTAGTCCTGCCTCAGTGCAGGGGATTGGTAATGACCTATCCAGGTCCCTTCCAGTCCTACATTTCTATGATTCCATCAAAACAAGTTTTTTTCAGAATTTGTCTCATGGGAAATTTTTGAGATTACCTAGGAAACAAATTCCAGTTCCTGAGCAGCTTTACCTATAGTCTATGATGGTCTCCCTTGTAGAGAAACAGCTGTAACTTTTTTTCTGACATAAGTCAGAAGACCGCTTGTGATGGTCCATCCTCTAGACATGTATTTCACAAATAAGTGTTGTATAGCAAAGTAGAAAACAGGCAGCCTTTGAAGGGCGTTTGCTCCAATACTTGTTGCTGATTCTAGAGTAACTCACAAGAAGCTGCTACCTTTAAAACAAACAAACATACATTTAACGTGCTGCACTATGGTTTTAACCGGAGCCTTCCCGATACTTGGAATGGGAAATAGAACTGTAAATTTAAAGTGTCACTCTAAAAATAGCATTATGGGATTTTATGGTTGTTTCTCTACATCAAATTTGCACATTTTAGAAGTAAAAAGACATTGCATACATATGCATGACTGACCACTTGTGCTTATGCATTACAACGATCACATATCAGTACAATATACAGTATTTTTCCTGCAGACTTACATAAACATATGTAGCGTCTTGCAGTACTGTGTACTGTGCAATGTACGCCCAAGTCCACAAAAGTCATTTAAAGTAAATAAGCTGTCGTATATTGTGAAAGAAGGACTTAAGAACATAGAAAATAGCTGAACATTGACTGGGGTACATAGACCATTACGTCTGCAACCGAGTTAACTAAAGCTAACTGCCCCATCTCCTGAGCAGTACTTAAGGGACGACGAGTTATTGGTTAACAAGAAAATGTTATTTAAGTTATTAAAAAAACAAAACAAAAAACAAACAAACAAAACCACCCACATACCTGGCAGGTAGGCGATCTTGTATTAAAAAAGTCAGTCAATAAAGATCAGCTGGACTACTACAACGCCGCAAGTATACGAAGGAATGAAAAGATTATAAAATGCTATCCATGTATCTTTGCATGATACTACACTGAGTTATCTGGAAAATAGTAGGTTCTCATGTAATTAAAGGCTGTGCAGCAATGCTGTATTTGCAAAAAGAAGCACACTTGAAGTTGCACATCCAACTTTAATTTTGGCATGTCCTAACTTGAGCGCCTGCCTCCCTCCCCTGCCTCACGAGCTGTAACTTTTGCTGAAGCCAAGTCACACTGCACTCAATGGCTGTCACCCAAAAATCTGCAATATCAGCTACATCAGTACCTTCTCTTTTCCCCTGTCTGACCCACAAGGCACACAAAAGAGTCAGGAAGTTCAAAAGTCAGGGTTTACATTGCAGCCCCAACTCAGCAACACTGCACTTGTGCTTTAACACAGCTACAAACAAGCAAGAAGTGGGGAGAGTTACAGTTGCTACAAAAACCTAGAGACAGGCTCAAGCCACAGAATTTAGAGCTGGCTTCAAACTTCCCCCCCGTTTCCAAAAATCAGAAATGTAGGACTGGAAGGGACACCAAAAGGTCATCTAGTTCAGTCCTCTGCACTGAGGCAGTACTGGAGTATTATCTAGACTATCCCTGACAGATGTTTGTCTGACCTGTTCTTAAAAACGTCCAGTGACAGAGATTCCACAACTTCCCTAGGTAATTTGTTCCAGTGCTTAACTACCCTTACAATTAGGAAGATTTTCCTAACGTCAAACAAAATCTCCCTTGTTGCAATTTAAGCTCATTACTTCTTGTCCTATTCTCAGTAGATAAGAACAATTTATCACCCTCCTCTTTATAACAATCTTTTACAAATTGAAGACTTATCATATCCCCCACTCAGTCTTCTCTTCACCAGACTAAACAAATCCAATTTTTTAAATCTTTCCTCGTAGGTCAAGTTTTCTAGACCTTTAATCGTTATGTCCACATCTTTCTGAAAACGTGGTGCCCAGAATTGGACAAAATACTCTAGTTGAGGCCTTATCAGTGCTGAGTGGAAGAATTACGTCTCGTGTCTTGCTTACAACACTCTTGCTAATACTTTCAAGAATGTCCTTCAAAGCGCTTGCAACTCCTTTCAGCTTGATATGTTCCACAAAAACGCTACTTTCGGTCATTATCCAAGTCATTTATGAAAATATTGATTAGAACTGGACCCACAACAGACTCCTGCAGGACCCCATTCAATATGCCCTTCCAGCTTGACTATGAACCATTGATAACTACTCTGAGTATGATTTTCCAAACAGCTGTGCACCAAACCTTACAGTAGGCTCGCCAAGGCTGTGTTTCCCTAGCTTGCTTATGAGAGGGTCACGTGAGATAGTAACAAAAACGTTACTAACAATTCAGATACGTCATATCTACTGATCCCCCCCCGCCCCATTCCTCAAGCTTGTTACCCTGTCAAAGAAGGATAATAGGTTGGCTTGACATGATTTGTTCTTTGTTGTTGACTGCTACTTATCACCTTATTAGATTCTAGGTGCTTCCAAATTCATGGGGAGTTTTTTCGATCTAGATTTTTGTTACTGTCTCATGTCTTGTAAAATATAACTCAACAAATACAGTATATGAACTTGTTAACACTTGTATACCAACCTTACCACTACACTATTGGAAACTGGATATCCTGACTGAGAAACTAAATTCTCAACCCCATTGTTGCATTAGATTAGATGTCTGATTTTATTTATTGTTGGTGAGTAAGGATAGTTGGTAATTATGAGGATGATCTGAGGAAGTCATACATGGGTTAATTCAATTTTGATGCAACCTGAAGGTCTAAAACTGACAGCACATAGAAGAAATAAAACAAATTCAGTGGCGTTTTTTGACTCACCAATATAATCCAAGCACTTTCAGTTCTTAAGAATTGTGATGAACAGTGATATGTTCTGGATGAACCTGTAATGCAAAAGTTGGCAAAACACCATTCACTTCTGATACTACAACAAATCTCCTTAGGTAAGAAAGTGGAAAGATGCAGCAAGTCACTGACTTGCCTCTGTGGGGCCACTTGAAAGAGAAACTGCAGAAGGTCTCCATCAGATTTAACATCCTCCACCCATCTACTGCCAAATTCTTTGGAAGAAAGGCAAAGATCAAGTAACTAGTCTAAGCTTGCAGCTCTGCTAGGAGGTACACACACTGGAGAAAGCTGAACAGTGGATTCTGTCTCTACCTGCTAATTGGCAGATAGGAAATGTCTGGGATCAGATAAGTCATACGTAAAAAAAGAGCCAGGCTAGTAGAACAGTAAATTCATACAATGTGTCTTGAGAAAGACAGACACATTAGAGAATGATTTTAAATAGCTAACCCGATCACATTAATCTTGATAGGTACAGAGCTAATTTTATTCCCCCCTCCTAAATTTCATAAACCCACAAAGCTTGGGGTAGGGGCAGTCACCCCTGACTGATTGTAATAAAATACTAAAGTAGCTATTTACAGAACACATGCAGTTAGCACATACATAATGAGTGGGAACATAGTTCAATAGTAACCATATATTTAGGCTTAGGAGGATTAGATTATCAGTAAACGTCAATTTCAACACACACACACACACACACACACACACTCTTTCCATTGATAATTGAAATTTACAGATAAGAAAAGAAAACTGCAGCTTGAGAACTGAAGAGTTTGACTGAAGAAAGTTTACTTTATATATTTTGACATACAAAGTTATTAAATATTTGACTCCCTCCCATAGATTTCCTGCAAGTGTGAAAAGATACTTTAAAATAACGTATTTAACTATTTTTATCAAACAGGAATTCAGTAGTGGTGCTGAGCAGAGTAACTCCACTGAGCTATTGAGATTGGTAGGACATACTGTTCTCAAACCCACCCACCCCTTTCAATCTCCCCCAGTTTCTAAGATACATACAGACCATAAACACTAAACTATTTTTAGTACGCAAGTCTGGATGTCAATGCAAATATATACACATTGATAGGCATTAGTTACTAACTCAGAAAGGTCCTGTTGTGCTTTTAGTTAAGTTCTGGTAGGCTTAAATCAGCAAATGAGAAAATGAAGTTCAACCTATTATCTAAAACTGCCATGTCATTCACAACACAAAGAGGAGAAAAGGAGCTCTTCAGGGAGCACATCAAGATAGTCAACAGCTATTCAAACTTTGCTCTGTGGATTAAAAAAGTCTGGCTCTTGCTTCACAAAGGAGCTTGATGGTTAGGACCTATGTACTGGGCTATCTCCTTTTCCCTCCATAGGGCCTAGCACAGGGGTGGGCAAACTTTTTGGGCAGGGGGCCACATCTGGGTGGGGAAATTGTATGCAGGGCTGGGGGAGGGGGTTGGGGTGTGCAGGAAGGGGCTCAGGGCAAGGGATTGGGGCAGAGGAGGGGCGTGGGGTGTATGAGGGAGCTCAGGGCAGGGACCTGAGGTAAAGGCAGGGGGCTTAGGGCAGGGAGTTGGAGTGCAGAAGGGGTGCAGGAGGGGTTCGGGCTCCGGCCCGGCACTGGTTACCTAAAGCGGCTCTGGGGTGGCAGCAGTGCGCACTGGGGGCCAGGGCAGGCTCCCTGAATGCCTGCCCTATCCCCGGCCCCGCGCCGCTCCAGGAAGTGCTGTGGCCCATGGGGGAGGGGGGGCAGAGGGCTCTGCGTGCGCTGCCTTTACTGTGCCTCCAGGTGCCTCCCCCGAAGTGCCCATTGGCCGCAGTTCCCTGTTCCCGGCCAATGGGAGCTGTGGGGGGAGAGGGGGTGCCTGGACGCAAGGGCAACGCACGGAGCCCTCTGCCTCCCCACCCGGGGGCCAAGGGACATGGAGCTGGCTGCTTCTAAGAGCGGTGGAGGTCGGATCCAGCCCAGGAGCCATAGTTTGCCCACCCCTGGCCTAGCAGGTTCTTTCCCACTTTCCAGCAGTGGCTAGGGCTATTTACTCAGCATTTGAAATATGTACCGGACACTTGTTAGCCAGAGACCAGTATAAAAGATACAAAAAAGCAAATGCTTTAGAAAAATACTAGGTTATAATGGAATTCATACTAAATGCAGAGATTTGTCAGAGTTCAACCACCCCTTGTTTCTAAAGTTAGCCAGAAAAGATGAAAATATTTTGGACATATGTTGAGAATGCAGTCAGAATGTCTCCTACGGCAGGTGTGTCATCAAGCAGCTGGAGGGTCATGCAGAAGGGGCCAACTAAAAGAATTCCTCCACTGAATATTCAAAAAAACGGGAAAGGTTATGGTACTTGACATGGATCTGATGGCTAGAGTTTATGGAAATTCTTACCTACTTAACTAACTGATCCTAAAGAATGTGAATGTGATAGATGAGTTACAGCAGCCTCTAGATCTAGCTTTAAACAAAGTAAAAGCAGTGAAAATCAAGACCATTTTATAAACGACAAAGCTACTGAGGGCAATTCCAAGAGGAACTCACACCGCTAATGGAGATGCTCCTGGGCTCCCACATTATCCATTTGAAGCAACTTTTTAAAATGGTCACGGTAAACGAAAAGGAACATTTACTGGCATAAGCTCACTAGATACAGTTGGTATTTATTTACATGCACCCATCACCAGGATATCCCCCAAAACTTAAAGCAAAATTCAGTCCACAGTACAGTCTTCTCCTCTCTGTTATCACATTGCTAGAGTACATGAAATGTGTGTGTGCGTGTGTGTGTGTGTGCGCGCGCTAGTCTGCAGTTGGAAGACATCTGTTCACAGTGCCATTCAGAAGGTGGTATGGTCTACACTTGTTCATTATCTTCTGGAAGGGATTTCCAAAGCCAAGGGCCTGCCACAAAAGCAGCATGGTATCTGGGGATCTGCCAGTTCCAGAGTCTCCTGAGTCACAGAGAATGGCGGTCCTGTATTTTACCAAGGACCAAAATATGCCATGAAGTGGACCTGGCACTGGATTGTGAGGCAGTGCTGAGCATGGAGGAGAAGCAAAGCATCCCAAAGGACCCAAGACTAAGGGCATGTCTACACTTACCTCCAGAGCAATCGATCCAGTGGAGGGGGGGGGGTTGATTTATTGCGTCTAGTGAAGACGCAATAAACTGACCGCCAAGCGCTCTCCCGTCGACTCCGGTACTCCACTGAGAAGCATAGGCGGAGTCGACAAGGGAGCATCAGCAGTCAACCTACCGCAGTGAAGACAGCCTGGTAACTAGCTCTAAATAGGTCGACCAGCTACGCTATTTTCGTAGCTGAAGTTGTGTAACTTAGACAGAGTTAGCTCCCACCCCCCCAAGGTAGACCAGGCCTTAGCCTGCACAACCTTTACAATCAGAAGACATCAGCCTCCATCAAGCAAATCATCCAAACACTTCAGGAAGTGTCAACTTGTTTCTCTTTTCCCCATGATCAATTCAGTCTTGCCAATTGCCCTTTATTCACGGGCTAACAATCTGCCTTAGTCACTAGGAGAACTAAGTGATAGCACTATCTGCATTTGACACGAAAGAGATAGAGCTGAAATAGCGTGCATGTTGCTGGCATTCGAGTCCAGTGTCTAGTGATCTTCTTTAGAGCTCTAATACACATTGCATAAAGGGAAGAGAGGACAGCCCTGCACGTTCCACAAGCAAACGCTCTGAGGGAGGAGTAGCAGCATCTGTTCAAAGGAACAAGTGATGGTAGATTAGTTGTGTTTCCTTTGCCAAGTCGTTTAAGTGAGTCAATGAAAATGTCATTGACAGTATCCAGAACTCCACATTGATCCCAACTGCACTGGTAGGTACAGATGCCTGTTTTGGGTGACAGGACCACCAGCACTATCTCAGTGCTACCTCCTGATCTGAAGGACATTGGCAGAGGTCAGGTACAATTGGAGACCGCTCAGATACCACCTTGGGCTCTAACTTGGGGGTTGAGAGGGTATTTTAGAAATTCATTTGCACTGAGCAAAGCTCACAAACTGGTTGGACTAGTCTAGTAAGTTGCACTCTGTGAAAGAAGCAATGACCTTCTTCTAGCAAGACATCCTTCACAGGCTTCCACCCACAGGGGTCTGAGTCACACATACTGGTTCATGCATTTCTCAGTGCTTCAAAGATTTCTGAGTATATGATTGGGCCAAAGTTTGTAAGAGAGCGTGCTATATTCACTAGTCAAAGGATTAGATTCCTGGAGCCCAGAGAATCAGTCTTGTATATGACAGGTTTCAGAGTAACAGCCGTGTTAGTCTGTATCCGCAAAAAGAGAACAGGAGTACTTGTGGCACCTTAGAGACTAACAAATTTATTAGAGCATAAGCTTTCGTGAAGAAGAAGTGGGCTGTAGTCC